TACGGAGTGGAGCGGATATCCATTTCTTAAATTTTAGTATTTGTGATTTACTTTGTTTTTAACGGATAATGAATTTTAGTATTTGCTTTGCTTTGTAAAGTTACGGATATCCGGATTTTTTGGATCGGATCGAAACGGATAACGGATCAAAGCGAATCTCAAGGATATTTTGTCCAGCCCTAATTAGGGTTCCATGACTAAATAGTTCAGAAAAAATTGATTGCATGCACTACAAGACTTTGTAGAGAAAGTTCTTTGGCCAAGCAAGACTCAAAAGTTGATCATATTAGTCTAAAATTAATATTGGGAGCCTTAATAAAGCTTACAATGGGCTATCTCTCTTCTTTTTCAGTGTGAATTCTGAAACATGTAGTCTAATCCTTAATTAATCCATTTGATTAAAGTCACATGAATTAAGGCCACATTCGCAGCTATGAGATACGAGAGGGAGCAACAAGAAGTAATCAACAAAATGAAGGTATGAACAGAGTCAACTGTGCATAAAGTAACTCTTCTCCATTATTATGGCCTTTGATTAGGGCAGGTTACTTGACAAATATTTCATGAGTCAGAGAAAGAAAAGTCCATGCAAGTGGAAACTTTGATGTCAAAATTGGTATGTTATTGTGATTTATTCGATATTTGATAAATAGCCTCTTCATCACAAAAACCTTGAACTTCTACTTTTCATTTTGTTGTCATTTGAGAAGTTTGTTGGTGTTTTATAGGAAGATACGAGGCAAAAGATGGTCTACCCTGATAATAGAAACCGTCAGCTGGAAGCTTAAGTTTCCGAGGAGCAGCTTGCTTCTACTAATGCACAAAAGTATGTGACCTGAACGCAATTTCCCTCTTATATTTGCATGTATATTGTCTCTCTTTTCTTTTTGTATTAACGGGTTAAATGTTTTAAAAGCTTCTATTTGGAGCAGAAAATAGAAGAACTTGACCTTGAAATAAAAAGACTGCAAAAGGATCTGGAGAGTGAAAAGGTAACAATGGAAATTGATTAGTGCCACTATACTCTTTACAAAAGTGTACATTAATGACTAGCTTCTGTTTCGTACATGTGATTTCTGTATATAATGTAAAGTTATATATAGAGCCCAAATAAATAAAAGAATGGCCACATAAAGAGCAACTCTCTCCAAGTGCATTCTAGCAACAATCCGGAGGTTAATGTTTCTAA